TATATATATATATATATATATATATATATATAACATTTCAGATTACTTCATAAAAAACTTCAAAAAAAATTCAATTTCTATACTGAAGTGGGTGTAGTGATGGTAGAAGAGGATGTCTGTGTTGTCGTTGTTGAACTAACATGGGATTGGATGATATAATGGCAGTGGACGATATGTGTTGATATCTAGTTAAACTAATACAGGAATAGATATACGTGTTGTAATATCATTAGTGGATGTGTGTTGATGCCTTGTTGTAGAGCTAACACAAGTGAGGATGTAGTAATGCTAGTACAGAATGTATGTTGATGTTTTTTGTTTATCTAATACAGGAGTGAATATCCATGTAGTAAAATCAGTAGAAGATATGTCTTGATGTTTCGTTTTTGAGCTATTGTGGGTTAAATTATAAATTTGATAAATTTGTTTTGCTTTTCATTATGGAAATGGAAACATAATTTACTGATATTAATCATTAATTTAAAAAAGGGCAATGCTTAAGTTCAAAGCAACCAGTATGCAAATAAACATTTCAAAAAATGGTACTACTTACTAATGCTTATTTTGTTTTGTTCAGTGAAGTGGATAGGTGTTGGCAAGGAAAGAGCTTCCATGATTCAAGTCTACTAGGCCTTTGTGACCAACATTTTCTCTCCTTACTTTGATGTTTTACAAAATTCTGAAATACAAAATGATACACTCACCTCCATGAAAGGCTTTGAAGTGCTCTGTTATGCTTTACCTGCTGGAAAATTTGGGTACATTTATTAATCAAATTATTTTACTTGAAATGTATAAATTAAAAAGAGTAGCTGTATTTTTGTGACATCTTTCTTATATAAAGATGCTTTCAAATTTAATATTCTTATTGATAAAATTTTTCTATTGTATAGAATTTCTTTTCTGTTTGTCTACAGTGTGTAGTAGTAACTGTCTGTTACCTATTATTATGATTGCTTGCGACAAAAAAAACGTTAACTCAAAAATTGAGATTTTTATCTTAAATGATGTAGAATTAATATCTTTTTACACAAAAAGATTGACTTGTGATGCTCTGTATTAGTTGAAAATGTTAAATTCTTATTTCAGTAATGTGTTTTAATAAACAAACTTAACATCAAATTAATCCTTTTTAGAACAGCAACATTCTATGGATCAAAATTAACATTTTATTGTAACTGAAGTGATTTTAGTAGCAATGTCTTTTGTTGGTATAATATATATGAGACATTGTAAGATTTTAATGTTTCCACAGTTGAAGTAGATTTTTAATTCTCCTAAAGTAAAACAACAACAAAATAGATGGCCTATCTTGTTTTTGCAGTCAACTTTTAATAAAACTAAGATTCTACTAGACCTGTGAGATTGAATGTGAGTTCTATTCCTAACACCTAGCTGGTAAATTCATTGTCATTTAGAAAATAAAAAAGGTTAAGGTAGAACAGATTACGAAGTGGTATTTTTTATATATATATATATATATATATGTGTGTGTGTCTAAGTAAATTTAATTTCAGTAGCAGTTATGATTTTGGCAGTTTTGACCTTTCTAACCTGTCCTTGTAATTTTGAAAATTTTCTCAGAAATATTACCTATAGATTAAATCATGGAGCACATTTGTAGAAAATTTGATATCACTATAATAAATAAATAAATAAAAAATAGAAGCCATAAATATAAACTTGCAATTCAAAGTCAAGCAGGGCAACCTGATGCCAATTTTAATCATAAATATGATTTACATTGAGTACTACATTCTTCTATACTATGTTTTGTTTGTTATAAATTTGGATTTTTATTAAATTAATCGACCAGTATTTTAACTAATGTATGACATATCCAAGCTAAAATATATATAGAAATGAAACAATTAAAACTACATCACTTGAATGAGATATGTAATGATTTCTTGAGATGGTTTATGATGATGGTAATTCAAACATCACTTAAGCAATTGATAAGTTCCATGCACCCTGGGTGAAGTCTGGCATATTTATTTATGATTGTATCAAGATCAACTAGGTGATTGTAATACACATTTAACAATGCAAGCCCACAAAGGCATTCCTGTCCCATTATTGGGCCTTAGATATGTCTTGAGATTTCGGAGCTTGCTGAAACTCCTCTTACACTCGCATGACGTGACAGGTAAGGTGGCAACTATTTGTAGAGCAGTATAAATATTTGGGTACATGTTCTGGTTAGTGTGCTTCAGTGTACTAGCAGGAGAGGATGGAATGTTGCCATGCCACTGACCATTTCTGTTTCCAACAGTTTAATTCAGTCTCAAGCATCTCTGGGGATGGAAGGTCCTTGTGTGGCCTTATGTTGACTTGGAGGAAAACAATTACGTAACTCTGCGAGATGGATGAGGAACAGCACTGAGACATTTTGTGGATAATATACATCTGGTGTATCACATGGAGTATTTACAACAATTCTTTTGCTTACCAACCAGGAAAAATAAACTGGGTGCAGAAGCACCAACATCGTTGGCCTTCTTTTCAGCTTTGGCAAATCAGTTACTGCTCGTGACATCAATGATTTTCCTACGGTCAGTCACTGCATCAATCACATGAGTGTTTTCTTACGTAGCAGTGCAAATGTTGATTGTCCATCCCTGCAGGCTGTTACTCAGTGGGTGCACATAAGCCTAAACATTGTGACATATAACAAACTCATAATAAATTCAAATTGTGTTATTGCAAGTTGAATTTATCTTGCCATTGCACTTGATTCAGCATTCCACAGTTCACAATCGGTTTGTATCTCAAGTAGTGACCCAGTGATTGCAGGATAAAGTTGATGAAATGCATTGTTGTGATCAACCCATCACATTTTACATAAACTCAAGTTTTTGGTAAGAAGCATCGGGACATTCCTCTCTGATCTTATCATGTAGTAATTCCTGATGTTTTGGTGACTGATGAAGAATGATGGCACTTCTCTGATAGTTCCCATGACATTCCATATAGCTTGTAGATTGTAAGCCTTCACAATTGCAAGATTCAACAAATGGGCATTATAATATGTTACAGCTGGGAACTCTTCTCTTATGGTGGTGGCCATGCCACAGATACTGCCTGACATACTTCATGCACCATAGTACCTCTTTCTATGTAGCAGAGAGAGGTCATGGATGTATAATCTCAATTTCCTCAATTTGTTTTGCCAGAGCTGCTTCAGTCAGCCCAGTGACCACATCTTTACACATAACAAAATCTACGAACTGCTCATGAATGGTTCCATTCAGCACGTAATGGAGGTACAGCGACATTGGCTCATTATTTGAAATGTCTGTAATTTCATCTACCATGATAGAAAAAAATCCTGCTTATTTCACCTCATTCACAATGGCAGATCTGATGTGATCTCCTGTTACACATATTAGCTCATTTTGTACTGTTTTTGAAATGTAAGTGGCATTTTTTGTTGCATTTCTTAGATAAGTTGTAAGTGTGGAATCCCTACTATCTATTCAGAAATCAAGTAGTGCATGGAAGCTGCCTGGATTACCTGGCTCTGTGCAAGTGGAATCATCATACTTGACCTCTTAAAGGTATGTTTTGACAACTACAGAGAATAGAGGTCTTCAGAATGAAGCCCAACTTTTGTCTGTTTTCTTGAAATCATTTTCTAACAGCTGTATCAACCTGGTGTGCAACAGTGGAGCACTTTTGTTTCATTGTGCTCAAAAATGTAGCTATGTCTAACATTGTGTTACCATGATACTCGCACTCAACGTGAGAAGACAGGTCTTGAGTGGTGTCCTTGAACTTGCTCAGAGGTTTAGAGACCAAAACTTCTATCTAGCAATGACCTGGCCTAGCAAATAGCACACATGGAAAACATAGTTCACCATCAAGATTCTTTGAATAAATTAGCCAGTTATGCTGCTTCAACAAATAATTTGGAAACAGTGACACTTGTGTTTACCTCCTTTGTGATACAAATATATAAAGTTTCTCTGGTTGTAAAATTCCCTTGATAATAGTATATCAAATCGATGCTGAAAGATCCTTGCATTTCCCCGGTATAAGTCCAATATCATAAGGGGCAGTCATGCCAGATAAAAATATCATATTTTTGTATCCTTGTGGTTGATGTTTCACCTGCATTATCATCATTGTCAAACACCTTTGTGCTGTCATAGTTCTTGGAGTTTCATCATCTTTACCCTGACATTGTTTATTCAGTGGTTCGTTATTAGAATCGGTAGTTTTAGGCTTGTAAAAGCCAAGAAGTGGCATCTGTTTCTGTTAACCTGACATCAGTTTAAAATGTTCAAAATGTAATTAGATCTACAACCACTGCAAACAGTACAGATGCAGTCAGTTGCAATTTACAGCCTGGTTTAGGTAGGGTGTTATGCAATTGCATGAGACATCATTAAACATGTCCATGTGTGGAAGAATTGACATCATAATTATTATCTGGAAGTCATTGTATAGCCATGTTTCAGAGGGGCCGTTCAGAAATTACTTAATTACAAGAGGGAAGAAGGCCTTTTGGGATATTTTTTTCTGGTACTCTATGGGATCTGTGCCTGGTTCTGATACTCATCTTTATTGATGGGTATGTACTTGATGTATATACTTTGTAGATATGTTGCTATTAAAGTTAGGTCAGCTGGTGTTTAAGGTATTCTAGATACATGGATATTATATCTGTTAAATATTGAATTTTAGATACTAAACAAAATAGGCAAACTTTATCCTATGAAGAGATGATAATATCTGTGAATATAGGGAGAAGAAAACTACGATACTGTAGATGTTGCATTACAAGTTTCTTAGTTCAGCTTAACAAACCTTGTTTACAAATTTATTTCTTTTTCAGTAGTAATGATATTTTCACTGGTGTAGTTGATAAGGGGAAACTAAATGGTTTATCTTTACATGTTTTTGGTATTAATGGTAAAACTAATGACAAATATTTGATGTTGTCACAACACATACAATGCCATTAATGATGTCATAGTATTGCCACTGCTTTTTTTTTTGGTGTTATAGTATTACCACTGTCTTTTTGTGGCATGTAGAGTATCGCCACTGTCTTTTTGTGGTATGTAGAATATTGCCACTGACCTTTTGTGGTGTCACAATAACACCAGTGCTATTGATGGTGGTGTTACAGTGCCAACATTAGTTATTGGTGTCTTCCTTGTGGTGCCAGAATAGTAACTATATCATTGATGGTATTGGTACTTATACACTGAAGTGAGTAACAAATAACATTAAAAAGGTGTAAATGCCCTGGTAGAGAAACATTAACTTCTTTCATTTGTAGATATTGTGAAAGCAAAGTTGCACTTGTGTTTCATTTTGGTCACTAATGATATTATTATCTGATGGTTTGTTTTAATTGAACACGTGATATCATATGAAGAATCTAATATCTAAACCAGATAGTCATAAATACAATTAAACTACAAGAATTCCAATCTGTGTATGTTGATTTTAACCTGTGAGGTGACACTTCAGTGGTTGGAAATTCTTTACAATAAAATATAAAAGTGTTGTAAGTCAATTATGAAAGATGAATTTGCAGTTTTTCCAGTGGAGTTCGTTTTGTGGCTTAACAGGTACAAAATGTGTGTATTTATATGTTTAGATAATCAAGGAAAATTGTGTTTAACCCAAAATACATGATGCATTAAACTGAAATACCCTTGATTTACCCATTAAGTAAGTTTGGTTTGGAAAGAAATGTCTTAGTAATGTGTAAATGTTACACTTGTCAATTATACATGTATTTTTTCTGTAAGTATATTATGGAAACAAAATTTAGAGAAATGGGTGCATACGTACTTTAGACATTAGGAAAGAACTGTGTATTTATATGGTTTTGAGACGTGAAAATAAAAGAAAAATTAATCTTTAAGTAATGAGTGTAGTACTATGATTTTAAACTTGACACAAAACAAATGTCATACATAAATTATTTTTTACAGTCCAGTGATTAAAAGAATAAGAGGTAAGTTCCACTGTAAGATTCTCAACAAATCTGAAAAATACTAGATATGTTGTCGCTTGTAATAGCATATCATTATCAGTTTAATATAAGATTCTTTGTGAAAGTGTAAAATACATCTACAGTCCGACATCAAATAAATTACTAATTATCTTTGAAGAAGTAATATTTGCTAATCTGTTGAAAAGTGGCGCTGTGTGACGTATACATTTCTCCATGTACGTAGCACACCGTAACATCTGTTAACAGATCAGCATAAATTATTTCTTTGAAGGTAGTCAAAGTCCTGATTTTTTTCTAGTAGGTGTAAATGTCTAAAATCTGCTGACCTAGAATGTTTAGGCGTGTAAGAGACCATTTCTTACCAGCCGTGAATCTTTGTTAGTATTTACTGTTGAACTCGGGGAAGAAAGTCTAGATAAATAAGAAACGTTTTGAGAGTAATATCTCTGTACTCTAAAGTTTTTATATCCACACAATTTACCTTAGACTGATAGATTCAGAAATAGCATTTGGATGGCCTTGACTTAACTTTTATATCGTGTCACGTAAAGAAGATAAATGACCTCCAACATGCCTAAACACCGTATTTCGGCAGATTTTCACATCTAATTCAAAACAATGCCAAAAATCGGGACGCTTGACTCGCCCTGTACATAATACAACAAAAATACTTGAAGATAGACGTGTGTTCTGTCGCAACATGTAGTATGTCCACTTCCAAAATAAATCACTTCATTATGTTTATAAATGGTTCTCTGAACCTTATTATAACATGTATATATATATATATATATATATATATATATGTGTGTGTGTGTGTGTGTGTGTG